ACTTTTTTTTTTTTTTTACATTGACAAGCTGATTCCAAAATTCATGTGGAAAGAAGGGTAATAAAAATGAAACAAGATGAAGCCAGAGGACTGTGGCCTTTAACTATGGAGCTGTGAGAAGCAGTAGCTGGATTTTAAGCAAGGGGGTAACAAAGATCTGAATTTTAAAAACTATCTAGTAATCATGGTTGCCGCGTAGACCAAGGTTCCAGGAGGCGGACAGCATAGAAGAAAGTCCTGAGGTGATTTCAGTGTTCTAGGAGGGAAGCAGTGATAACCTGACCTTGGGTGAAGGCATAGGGGCAGCAGAGTCAACAGAAAGCACAGGAAGTGGGAATGGTCACAGCCCCTGGCTGGCAGCACACAACACGTCTGCTTCTGCTTTAACACAAAGCACGTTTCTGAGACACAGCGGACTGTAATGTATCCTTGCTCCCTGGGGCAGTACTAGGTGTGCACACGTTACCACGAGATACTTAAAAAGGCTGTGTAGTCATGCGGGGGTCCTACCTTTACTCTCCGGGCCAAGTTGTTTGATTAGCCTCAGGGTACTCTTACAATTAGGGTAAAGCGACTTGTGATCCTCAGAAGCTGTTTCCGGTGACAGAGTTAAGTCATCGAGGTCATCCACAGAATTAATCTGCTCTCTGACCTACAAATAAATAATGCTATTTCACAGTGTCTCCAACATAGTTATAAAATATGCTTAGTGTCCAGAGGTGATAAATATCCATCTTTTTATGAGAGCAAAAACACAGACACTTCTCGAAAGAACTGACTTTTGACAAAAGGCTAACTTTATCAATAGTGTTTCTAAATTATTTTTAAGTAAATGTCTCTACAACAAAGGAGGATTTTCTGTTTTTCCACTCTATCTTTTATGAATTGTTTTTACCATAGGGAAATATTTTTATAAGTAGTATTCTACTGTACCTTGTCCTTTTTAGTAGACATTTTCTTTGAAGACCTGAAAAAAGAAAAAAGCAATTCATTTAAGCCTAATACTAAATACTGAAAATACAAGAAATACGTAAATCTATTATTTTTACATAAAATCTTTGCATTGATAATTAATTTTCAATAAAAGGGATTAAACAAACAATGGAAACAGTAACATTAAAGGACAAAGAAAGCATATCAATTATATTATTGACAAAGTATTCAATTTAAATCAAGGGGACAAGCAAAGGAAAAGGAAAAACATAACATTACTTGTATTATTTGATAGGAAAAAATACACCAGGATTTTCTTGTTGTTGTCTGTTTCAATAAAAACTGGCTTTTATGGCAATAAAACCTATTTGGAAAGTATTACTTAAGTCCTTATATGAAAGAAACCCTTTTCTAATAACCATGATATTAGCTTATTTGAGGACTTACAATGCAACCGCTATGCATTATTATCAGCACTTTACATGTCTTAAAGACATTTTAATCCTCACAACAATCCTGGGAGGTAGGTAATACATTAGGTACTTTACCCAGGAAGAAAATGAGGCACAGAAAGGCTACGTCATTTGTCGAAGCCCCTATGTCTGCCCAGAATTCCAACCCAAGCAATCTGGCTTCAATACTTGCATTTCACAATATGCTAAGAAAGTAATATTTATTTTTAAGTATTTTTAACGAATGTAGTAAATGAATCTCTATTATTATTGTATGTCTAAGGTATAATTATAAATAATTTCTGGGGCATATGTCCAGAAGGAACCCTACTTCAAAATGACACCTGCACCCCAATGTTCACAGCAGCACGATTTACAATAGCCAAGACATGGAAACAGCCTAAATGTCCATCAACAGGTGACTGGATAAAGAAGACGTGGTATATTTATACAATGGAATAATACTATTCAGCCATAAAACCCGATAACATAACGCCATTTGTAGCAACATGGATGCTCCTGGAGAATGTCATTCTAAGTGAAGTAAGCCAGAAAGAGAAAGAAAAATACCGTATGAGATCACTCATACGTGGAATCTAAAACAAAAACAAAACATAAATACAAAACAGAAACAGACTTATAGACACAGAATACAAACTTGTGGTTGCCAAGGGGGTGGAGGGTGGGAAGGGACAGACTGGGATTTCAAAATGTAGAATAGATAAACAAGATTATACTGTAGAGCACAGTGAAATATATATAAGATCTTATGGTAGCTCACAGCAAAAAAAAATGTGACAATGAATATACGCATGTTCATGTATAACTGAAAAACTGTGCTCTACACTGGAATTTGACACAACATTGCAAAACGACTATGACTCAATAAAAAAATGTCAAAATAATAATAATAATAATTTCTGAATCTTAACACCTATTTTTTAAAAATAAAAAGACTTTAGACCTAGGCAATACTGGAAATCTACTTTTAATAAAGATTTGCTTTCGCTAAAGACATTAATCAGCGGGCACTCATTATCCATTCAGCTGTTTGTTCATGCATTTGACAGGTCCTTATGGAGCATGATGGCTTTTTTAATTTAGAACTTAGTAATCCAAAAGTAATCATCTGTGATAGATTGTTAATACTTTGTTATTCTATTGTATATAAACAAAATCTTCCCCTTCTTCCTGGAATCTAAACAAATATTAAGTTAATATAATCTGATATTTTACAATAGCATACAAAACCATAGCCACTCATGGTGATACTGTCAAGGACACTATAAAATCTAGAATCATCAAGGAATGATTAAACCCTATTCAGTATGGCCTAAGTGTTTGTATAGTCATTATGAGGATACAACTTGTAAAAATCTATGGACAATGGTGTAACTTTAAAGTCATTATCTGCATATTCAATTGTGTAAGAATATTACGCTTCAGAACTAACGAACAAGCCCTTATAACAAAACCATACATGAATAGTTTACTACAGTATCTTAAAGATAACATACTACAATCAATACACTTTCTAGTATCAGAAATGCAAACAAAGTTAAATTGAAAAACACGTCTTCTATGGAATCGCATCCAACAGCATAGAGACATGCTACAATCTACTGTCTCATCATTAAAAAAAGAAAGGGAACCCCCACGAGCCCCACGTTCCCCTTCAGTTATCACCCAGTCCTCTCCTGCCTTCCCAGGGAATGTCCTCTGAGGGGCTCTTCACACCGACTCACTACAGCCCGGCTTCCTTGGGGACATATTACTGAAACTACTTCCGGTCAAAGGCACTTATCCTCATCTTAGCCTTTCGGCAGTGTTCCTCCGACACAGTTGAGAATTCTCTTGCCTTGGCCTTTGCACTATATGCTGCTGTTCTTATTCCCAGAGAAGGTAATCACTGCTAATACATCTTCACCTAGAAATAAAGGATTTGTAGATTTTACCTGCCACAACCTTGATCTCCTTCACTTAAACTGCTATTCTCATTCATGTGTAGGAGACCACCAGCCAGTGAGGCAGTCTTCTCAAATACATGTGACGTCACAGATGCTTTTGATGTCCGTTTTCCACTTTCATTCTTCTTTACTTCCTTCATACGCAAGCCAGGACAGCTACTTTAAAACAATCCATAAAAAAGCCAATTTTTAAAAAATAGCTCTACTGATAAATTAAAAAAACCCAATTTTTGTAAAACTCCAACTCTTACCCATCTTCAATCATTTATTAATTCACAAAATGGTTAACAAGTGCCAACCATATGCAACGAAACACAAATTCTTGCTTCAAAGACAGATATACAATTATGATACAATGTGATATGCAGGAGCTGACATATGAAAGTAAAGTGAGCATAAGGAAGGTTTTACAGAAGAGGGAAATAAACAGGAGGTCATCAGCAAAAGAGACAGGAGGAAATTATTCTACTTAAGAGATTAGAATGTGAGTGCAAAGATTAGGCACAAGGCATTTAGGTGTGTCCTGGGAACCTGGAAGGAAGAGGACAAAATACATGGAAGCAAGTAGAGAGATGAGCCTGGGAAGAAATTCTGAACAATATCTAGGAAAATAGTAATTACCTACTGCTGAATACTGATCTAGGCTTACCTATCAGGATCTCCTTTCTGCAGAGCAGGAAACTGCTGGTCAGCAGTTTTTCCCCTCTTCCTCTGCCGAGTTAATCCTTCATGATAACTGCCACCACACATGGTTTCTGATCCTTTCAGTTCACTTTTCTTCCTGTTCTCTTCTACTTCAACCTTTAGTGAAAGTTTGATACACAGGGTAATTCTTACTTTATTCATTAGAAACACTTTGTTTTCATTCATTTTATCATTTGGCTCAGAGTTTGCCCTGATTTCAATTGATTAAAATATTTTTGTGCTTATTTTAATTTTTATCATTTCAAGTCATTGAAGTGTTTGTAAATTCTGCTTCTTTCTGTTTGAGGAAAAGAAGCAATTTCTAAAATTTCAAAAAGGACTTTCTGAATGTTGTGCTCTTACGTCCACTCTTCCCCATGTGAACGGCAGAGACAGAGAAATAGAAAGACAAAGGCATAACATTTCTCCTCTTCTGTCTTTACTACCTAGATTTTGCATTAAACAGCCAGATTGAGAAGATGTCACACCTTGGTGCTTCAGGAACAGAAAGGAAACATTCTTCTTTCTGTGCTAAAGCTATCCTTCCCCCACTACTTTTTATAATTCTTCTTTCATTTGGATCCTGGGGTATCAAGAAAGTGGTGTTTAATAAAATATATAAACCCAAGTTTACCGAAAGGAGCAGAGTGAAACTGATGAATTGCCAGTTAGTGTGGAATTCTGCAAAAGGAATAATGCTTCCCAATTTCACATTTAATAACCATGACCATTTTATAGCTAGACGACATAGGATTAATGAGTGATCTACTTTAGCCCCACTGTTTACTGATAATGGGAACACAACCAAGAAAGGTTAAGTGATTTGTCCAAATTCCCTAAAGCAGTATTCCCCAGCATTTTACGGTGTCAAAAGAGACGATACAATTCTCTAACACTGACTCTAATAAGCTACCAAATAAGTTCATCAAATTGATCAGATAAGTTAAAAGTGTGACTTTGGCAAAGTTGGAGGCAGGGCTCATCTCCTTTTTCTATTAAAGGAGAACACCTTCAGAGTTCTATCTTTAACATTCTTTGCACCTCACACAAAAGAACACACACATTTTAAAAATCTATTACTAGAACTAAAAAAAAGCATTCAGTGCATCTCAAAACTCAAGTTTTCTCTTTTGGAGATAAATACTGAATTTTTTTTTGCTGAGGGTTCATACTACCTATATGATAAAATCATACATGTCAAAACTTACTACATTTTATTAAATAATATAATGTAAGTGACTCAACAGAAAAACCCAAAAGTGGTGATTCAAGAATATGTGGGAGCACATGTATTTGTTCTTAAGACTATCTCAAAGTGGCCATGATGGAATTCTAGGTGTCCAGTGATCAGTAAGACAGATAAGCCCACACTCACTAACGCACAATACACGGATCAGTTTAGTGAGAGCTTGTGCTTATATCCCTTCTCTCAGTCACTGCTTCCTTCCAATTCTATGGAAGTGCAACTTACATTGAAGCCAACAGATTAAAACAAAAAAACAAAACAAAACAAAAAACCCTTGAGCTTATTATATTTCCTAAGCCATTTCACTTGCATTTATTCCGGCTCAGAAGGTCACGTGGCACACAGCTGAATTACTTTCCCACTTCATACGAAAGACTGGCACAGAGACTTAGTTAGGTTGGTTAAAGAACAAAACCCAGGAAAATACTTCCCTGAGTTCCTGTTATTTAGATGGCAGAAATAGTCTGTTTCTACAAGATTACTTATTGAGATGACCCCGTTTTATACATAGGCTATTTTCATAAGTGGAAAATCAGATCAAATATGGATCAGAAAGGAGGAGATGATAAAGAGAAAAAACAGAGTAGCAGCAAAGGAACCTCTACCTCCTTCTGAAGCTGAATTTTCTTTTTCCAAAGCCAGGAATTCTACTTGTAACATGCCTACCTCATTCTTAAACCTTTGCATACCTTGCTGTAACCCTTTTAGATATACTTTGGATGTTCTGTTACCATTTGATGGAGAAGAACTCACATTTCCTAATTCAGGGTCTGTGTTTTTAGCGTTATCAGCACCGCAGTTATCTGCAAGCGATGGTTTCTGGAGCTGGTCTTGTATCGGTCTGGTTTTCTTACAAGTAATTGAAACAGCAGACATAACATGACTTTTTATTTGAATCATGTGTTTCTTTCTCACTGGAGCGGGCAAGCCACAAACCAAAAAGGCTTTTTGGATCACTTACCTGAGGTGCATGTCCAGTGTCTGATTTCCAGTGAGTATTTTGGTTCCTTTTTGGTTTTCTTTTTGTAGCAAATTCTTGGTCTTCTTTCACTTTAAATGGAACCCGGTTCCTTACTTCATTTTCTCTGTCATTACAAAAACGCTCCTCAGTTTTGTTAAAAACGTCTTCAGTGTCTGGCTTACCATTTTCAGCCAACTTATTTTCATTTAAATCAAGTTTTGAAGATGACTGGCAACCATACTTTCTTGACTCAGACTTGGAATGAGATGGAAGAACATTTTCAAGACTGGGCTCTTTGTGTTCAGAGACTGCCTGGAATCCTACAGAGACAGAGGCTCCAGGTGCATCTACTTTCTCAAAATCAAATAGATTATCTGTGACGTTGGAAGGTAGTTCCTTTAAGTCACCATGTAGTTCAGAGTTGTCATGTAGTGGCACTTCCTTATGACGGAAAGTAATTTTGCCTTTTTCATGGATTTTACCAATTTTCTGCTTTAACTTCTTTGTGATAAGTTGTGACTTATTTTTCCAGTCGAATTTGCCTTGTTTCACCCACATGTCCTCATGCTTCTCCACATTAGAATGTTTTGAAGACACAGGTATGTCCTTTCTGTCATGTTCCTTATTCATTTCTGCTTCTCTAGGCATTTTCTGCAGATGCACAAGTGAAAGATTAATCTGCTTGATTTGATCTTCAGATTTCTCTT